ACCGGCTCTGAAAGAGTACAACTTTCGACTGATATTCGGCTTTTTGAACCGCAAGAGACCTTTCAACTGGTGATGTTTGTTCCGAGGTTTTCAATAGGTATGGAGATTTTTGTCGGTCCATGTAACAATACTGGGGACAACTGTGTGAACAGTATGGCGAGCAAGAACTGGGGCATATTGTGTAGGTGCTGCATAGCTTTGTGGGGGCAAAAAGTTTAGCTTAGCATTTCTTATTGGCGTTGATTTTGTTGGACAATAGGGCACATGTTGTCACAGCGAATTCCACATTGCGATGGACAGATAGCAGGTGACTGTGTTGAAACATTAGGAGGACAGTGCTCTTGACAACAAGGCTTGAAGGCTTGACATTAGTAAGTAGTTGTCGTAAAGTGGTTTTCAGTTTGTGTGTAGTCAGTTTGTAGTATACCTGCGACAGTTTGAGAGGTGCCTCTGATGTGGGGTATAGTCGCTGTTGCAACAGGGCGAGAGTTGACGTTGTTCTGAGTGTCAGTCAGTTACTGAGAGTGTTCCTTCTAACGAAGTCTGTGTTGTAGTTGTTCTTACTAAAAACGTTGTTTAGGTAGTCTGTCTCATCTTGTAGGCTGTCAGGTGAGTCGCAAACTACATGTAGTTGCGCTCGTCTGGTCAAAGTCTGGATAGTGCAAACGTAGGTAGGTACGTACAGACAACGTATTGATGAGATCAAGCAAAACTAACTACAAGAGAACAACTGGAAAACTGACAATTTGACTAACAATAGACGTCTATTTAACTGCGACAATAGACAGATAGAAATGCACCAATTACATTATGAGTCTTCACAGCCAATAACATCAGGGCTTAAATGACAGACGACCAATAACACTGCAATGTAATGGACCAATTAGATCAATAACCAGAGCATAATACCATCAACTGATGTGATACAACTCACTTTGACTCTGAAGATGACTACCGAATAGGTCGTCAAAACGTCCGTCACTGTCAACAACAACAGTCTTATTCAGGACTATGTTAACCTAGACGATCAAAGTCAATCTATTAATTTTCTAGTTATTTAATTGACCCTGAAATGCAAACATTGAGATCAACATACCTTGAATTTGATAAACTGGATGCTAAGCTAATGGTGAAAAACGAGCCCAGATTCCTTTGTTGCTTTTTCGACATTTTCAACACAAAGCCAACACAAGGGTTGAAACGGACAGAGTTTTGTGCATGTGTACTAGTACCAAATCCAAGTCAGATGTCTTTCCAATATTTCTTAGTTTTTGCATGTGAGTGCTGCAGATGAAACTGGCATTTAGTTTGAATTGATGAATTGTTTTTGTGTGTTTCAAAGGTGTGCTGTAATAATATTATTTAGTTTACTTTTTCCAATGCTCTTTTCCTTTTTAATGACCTATTTTTTGCTACTTTTTTGGGGGTTTTATTTAACGATGAAAGTAGCTGGCGGAAATCCCCTGCCTTAGTGACAACCCTGAAATTTTTTTGACCATTTTAATGTGCTGTACATCTCCCCCTATAATTTCTAAATGTTGGGCTACATTCTCTGAAGGGTAGACGTCTTAAATCAAGTCCCACACTGAGCAGGGATCCAGGGGACCTTGACCTATCAACTATATACTGCACATTACGATTGTCTTGTTCATTATTTATGTCAGTAGAAAAAAGAAAAATCTAATTGGGATCCACTTCAACACACATTCATTTAGGTGATTCACAAAACCTAAGTCTCTTAGTGTTTTTGATTTTTAGCAACATTTATTTTCTTATCCACTTCCTTCTCGACAGAAATATCACAAAAGTGATTTGTTGACGTAATTGCCATTTTTTATTTTTCTTCAAGATGCCATTACAATTCTCACTATCAATGAAGCAACAGATAGCGAATATGTTAGCCAATCGTAGTGCAGAATTTGTGATACCATTTTTCACTGCTTTGCTTTTGCCAATAACTTAGCATTTATCTATCTTTGGAAGCATAATAATACTACTTTATTATAGAATGTATTTTTAAATGTCAATATTCATGTAAAAATCTCTTTCTTTCTTTATAGGAAGCAATCACAAGAGTGGTAGACTAATGGAGGTTTGCATTTATGAGTGTGCAGTAGTGTTGGACACTGGATGGATGACATAACATGCACCTAGTACAAGGCAACTGGATAATAAAGAAGACAGACTAGAGGGCAAACAAGACAACTGACTAGGCAATGGACTGGGCAAACTAGAACTGGCTGGATGACATCACCTAGTACAAGAACCTTGTTTAGAAGAGAATGGAGTGGATGGATTAGAGGGCAAGTGATATGAGATATCATGTGCACCTGGTTCAAGAGTTGGGCTGTGGATTGTGGAGAGTCTTACAACATCTGGTTTGTATATTGCATGATATATTAATTGACTAGAAATGGTATGTTAGTTTAATATTATCTCACTCTTTAAATACCGTAATAGCAATAATAATAACATCTAAATCCTGGTGATAAAAACTAAGTCAAAATTTTTGGCCCCGCCCAGGAGGCCTGAATGTGGGGTATAGCTGGCCTGGGGTTTTCCTCCTAGGAGCAAGTGGATGCACGTGGAGGTTTTTCACCCAGCTGTTGTTCCACAACCCCCATTCACACAGCATTTTCTTAAACATGACAATAGAACTTTATTGTTATATATCACATAACATACAAAATACTCATTTAACTACCCAGTTGTTGTATGACTGAAAGAACTTCCTTATAATAGCTGTGGGTTTTTGAAAAAGAAATTGCAGCCTTCAGAAATTACTTTTAAGAATTGTAAGAGGTTCCAGAGAAAATTCTGAAAATTTACAGAAATTTCATATTTGCCTTTTATTGGGGAAATATTTTAACACACCAGTCTGCATCTATTTGAATTGGAGACTTTAATAAATTCAATTTTGGCTTAAAACAGGTAACCTGTAGTTTTAAACTGCTCATTGGAATCTTGTTTAACATTACTGGGCTTGCTAGATGGGAACATATCCTTTGGTCATTAATTTGTTTTTATTTTTATCAATGATAATTATTGCTAAATAATTATTACTAATAGTACCAGTATATAGCAATGTCAGCAGTCAACACCTCGCTGCCAAAATTTGATGGAAGGACAGGCAGCATCAGCCTTTCCCAGGTTAAGAGCAAAGTTGTTTATTTAGACAAGTAATCTGAGAAAAATTGGTTTCAAATATTAGGCCAACTGATTGTTTAGCAGGGTTGTTCTGAAATTAATAAGCAAAGGAAGCAATTAAAAACTGAGAACTCATAGAATTTGATAAAAACTTAATTTGTTTATACTATCTAGGGGTAAAAAACTTAAGCACTGAAACACAAGTAGTAATCAATGTCATAGTTTGCATATTATTATTACATTTCAGCCTGCAGGTACCCTGGGAAAAATTCAGGAAATCGTATTTAACTTTGAAATTTTTTGCATCCAAAATTGCAACAGTTGGCAATATTGCTTCCTTTGCATAATTATTATAATTTTGTCATTAGACCATTTGCATGATTGTTTCATATAACTGCAAACTACCAGGATTCTTTAATAATTCAAGGATTATGAAGACTTTGATTCTTTGAATTTCTTTGAGATCACTGCATTTAAATAATCAACTTATGGGAATTAACAGGAATTCTGGTAGTACTTTAGTCAAGTGAAGCCATTGTAAAACATCAGTGGTCTGTTATAATCCTATATTATTTACACAACAAACAGCAAGTTCATTAGCACAATTAACACCGTCCTTTAACCAGGCTTGAATTAGCATAAATGGAACTTTCTCTAGCATAAATCATTCTTAGCCAGAGACTAAAGTTAGTATTTCTGTATTGGCATTGAAAAAAAAAAGTCAATTTGAATACGTTTTGGATCACCTTTATATAGAACCACAAAGGAAAAATTTAAATTTTAAAATTTATCTCAAATCTAATTTTTTCGCATACCACAAGGCATAAGTTCTTGCTGCTTACTAAAAAGGAAACAAACAAAAACAAAACACAACCAAAAAAACTAGAAAAAAAGCTTAGGGTTAACCTTCAGTAATACAAAGCTCTGGGTGTCAACTCAGGGACATAATTCAGGTTAGATTTAATATTTATTTCATATTTATCAATATACTTATTTAATAGCGTTTAAGGTCATCACTGGTGTTTTTTTTTACTTCCAACTTTTATTCTAGTCCAAATCTACAAAAAAAATTAGCTTTTACAGTTGCATCTTTGCAACGGTTTTTCCATTGGAGAACAGAGTGAACTTTAAGAATAGCTTTCAAACATCCTAGGAGCGTATTTAAGAGAGCAGACTATTGGTTACTATCACATTCTCTTTAATTCTGCTCGGATTATTATTTAATAATATGCACGTCCACATTTCTTGGTGTTCCAAAAGTTCCTTCGTAAATATCAGTTGTCAGTTTGTATGTTTTTGTTTTTTTTTTCACTCTAGGTTCTTGCTCCTTAGCGAACTAGCACGTTGCTAGTGGCAGCTAGTAATGTTCCGTTTTATAAAAACTCGTAAAATATTAGGGTTATTACTATTTCTCTTTTTCAGAATTTTATTACAACACCAAGTAAAATAGGGCTGTTTGTGTTTTTAACGTACTAATGGGCTTGCATTTTCTACTTAAAATTTAAGCTTCTTATTTAATTTCAGATCCTAGGTGGCACACTCACAAGATTAGGAGCCCATCACTTGAGAAAGGTCATGTTTAATTTAGCCAACCTCGCCCCTGCTGGGCTCTGGAAGCTCTGCCTCTGAGAAGGAGTGTTTCTGATGTCTTCTGAGATATTTCAACTTAGAAATCCTGGGAATCTATCTGATTCTGTAATTCTTGCTCTGGGCAGATGGGCACTTGGAAGATTTGGCCGTTTGTTCCCAAGTGGGGAGGACAGTGTGGAGGAAGGTGAGAGTTTGATTCCTTATGTTCTTAGGGCTTCATTCATTTTGTCATAATAACTACACACACCTTTTTCGAAATAAAAAAAACAGTAAGGTGCTTGCCTGCAAACAATGTCTGGGAATGTTCCACTGCAGTAGGATGAAAAACGGCGGTGATAACATTGTGCCGGCTCACGGAGTATGTGTGTCGATGGAGGATTCGAGGACAGAGGACTGGACACTGAATCTCACCAGTGTGGCGTGGGTGGATTTTTGCAAATGACATCAAGTTGAGCTGATAGTCATAAAAAAATCTCTCTAATGGGGGGCAACTGGTAATGGAGCAGGAGTTCTCTTCTAAACCTAAAAATTTCACCTCTTTCTCAAGCTTGCTTAGGCCTAATAATAATAAACCTTTCAAACAATCGCATAGGATAAAAATCATATACAAGTCAATTATTTATTAGCTTAATTATCATTTCATTCTCATATTTCCTGCCTGAATTACCTAAAAATGACCAAAACTAAGGTTATGTTACATCAACATCTGTTGTTTTTGCATCAACTGGAAACAACAGTCAAACAAACTTGGCTGTTGATGTTAAAGACTAACTTCTCCTTGACATTATTTAAGCCTTCGGAAACCTAGCCTCTACACAGACGTTTTATTTTTCTTTTCGTTCTCTTGGAAAACTTCAGCTTGCGCGAGAGCGAGGCGAGCACGCGAGAGCGGAGCGCGAGAAAGAAAAAGAAAAACGTCTATTTTCTTCTTCCCCCACCCCTACCCCGTTACGCTGGCGGTCAATAAATCCCCCGCGGTTTATTTTATCTCACCCGTGCTCGACGGACTTTGAAGAGAAAATAGAGAGTCTGTGAACAGGCTATTGGAAACAGTTAGGATCAAATTATTACGATTAAACCAACTTGATTAATCAGACTGCTGTGGAAGTCTTCTCTATTTCTTTGTTGAAAAGGGACATAGAATAGATTTCCTTGGCTTGGGTGATAACTCAAGTTAATTTGACCTTCATGCTCTTGGTTCGGTTGTAGGCATAAATATATAAACAACTTTTATCATAAGCATAGATTTCGATTAGTGTCTTCTTTAAATTTTCAGCTAATTTCTCGGCAGTGACTTCAATTGATACATTAAAATCGGGTTTTCCATAAGAGACTGACTGGAAGATTCGGCTAGTTCCAGTCTTTTGTCGGAAACCTGATGTAAACGGAATGAAATATTTATTTCCAAAGTCGCTCTAGATCTAACCACTTTGGCGAAATTTGAAGGCGAAATCTATTTGATACTGATTTTAAATAACGGCATCCTAATTCGTAATAGGGCAGTCAAAGTTTAGATATTGAATTTTAAACTAAACATTAAGACCAAAACTCAATCACGGCACTTCGGCATTTTAGGATAAATGATAATAAACGGCGCTAGAATAAAATCTTCTTTTCCGCAGCAAATTTCATTTCATTGAGACCTAAACATTAAACACTAAACATTAAAATAGGGCGAGAGAAATCCAGCATCAGTTGCTTCGCAGAGGAGAGATTATTATTGACTTGTGCTCTTTGGTGAAGTTTGTNTTTTCAGCTAATTTCTCGGCAGTGACTTCAATTGATACATTAAAATCGGGTTTTCCATAAGAGACTGACTGGAAGATTCGGCTAGTTCCAGTCTTTTGTCGGAAACCTGATGTAAACGGAATGAAATATTTATTTCCAAAGTCGCTCTAGATCTAACCACTTTGGCGAAATTTGAAGGCGAAATCTATTTGATACTGATTTTAAATAACGGCATCCTAATTCGTAATAGGGCAGTCAAAGTTTAGATATTGAATTTTAAACTAAACATTAAGACCAAAACTCAATCACGGCACTTCGGCATTTTAGGATAAATGATAATAAACGGCGCTAGAATAAAATCTTCTTTTCCGCAGCAAATTTCATTTCATTGAGACCTAAACATTAAACACTAAACATTAAAATAGGGCGAGAGAAATCCAGCATCAGTTGCTTCGCAGAGGAGAGATTATTATTGACTTGTGCTCTTTGGTGAAGTTTGTGAAATGAAGGTCATTCAGACCAGCGCGATTCTTTGTTCAATAGGCTGCCTTCCTTTCTGACGGAGACCCACTAAAGACTGAGTTTCACTCTGTAGCACCCTCTTTTTTCTTGTCCGAGTCTCTGGATATTTTCACGATATATACGCGATAGGTACGCGTTTTCATCTAAAACAAATTATATTTTTCACTGAGAATTATTTTGGCCAGTTTGGTATTGAGACCTAAATCAATAAGACCCTGAGAGCTTGAGGAGCAAACTCTCACTTTCCTTCACGCTGCCCACCCCACTAGGGAACAAAGGGCTGAATTTTCTAAGTGTTCAACTGCTCCCAGAGTGGAAGCAGACCAACAGGGGCAAGAGAGGCTAGATAACCTTTTTTATATATTTTTTTCTTTATTGTAAAAAAATGGACCACAAAAACAAGTTGTATTTCTTCAATAAAGTATTGTTATATTCAGCACCAGTGATGTTTACTTTGTAATCCAACTACTTGAGTGAACCAGATATACACCCTAAAGGCTTGGACACAGTTAAACATTACGCGTAGTAAAGATTGATTTACACTAGTGACATAAACACAAGCACAAGTTAAGTGCAGACGTAACAGCACAAGAATAATCAAACGGGTTCGTTTTATTCTTCTTGTGTTCGCTCTTTAATAGTAAGAATTAGTAATGATCAAGAAAAGAATGAGTGTGTTCCTTCTTTTCATGTTCTTCTTATGCCTTTGTTGTTGACGATCTCACTGAACTGAACTCAGTTCTACTGCTTTTGCTTCCGTTTGAGTCGCTAGTATAAACTTATCTTTTAATTAAACCAAATTTGAATTGAATTTGGTCAAAAAATTGGAATTTTCCTCTTTGCTTACTCTTAACCAAAATACGCCTTAAAATCATGTATGCTGACCATCCGGTTAGAAAACAAGCCTAACTAGACTAAAAAAATAAGGATTTTACCAAGTCGCCCTATGGAGATTTTTTCAAAGGTCTTAACCCATGAATTTGGTCAAAAATTGGAATTTTCCTCTTTGCCCTGTTTTTAACAAAATATGCCTTGAAATAATGTTTGCTGACCATCTGGTTAAAAAACAAGCCTAACTAGACCAAAAAAATAAGGATTTTACCAAGTCGCCCTATGGAGATTTTTTAAAAAGGGTTAACCCATGAATTTGGTCAAAAATTGGAATTTTCCTCTTAGCCCTCTTTTTAACAAAATACGCCTTGAAATAATGTTTGCTGACCATCTGGTTAGAAAAAGAGGCTAACTAGAGCAAAAAGATAAGGATTTTACCAAGTCGCCCTATGGAGATTTTTTCAAAGGGGTTAACCCATGAATTTGGTCAAAAATTGGAATTTTTCTCTTAGCCCTCTTTTTAACAAAATACGCCTTGAAATAATGTTTGCTGACCATCCGGTTAGAAAACAAGCCTAACTAGACTAAAAAAATAAGGATTCTACCAAGTCGCCGTATGGAGATTTTTTCAAAGGTCTTAACCCATGAATTTGGTCAAAAATTGGAATTTTCCTCTTTGCCCTGTTTTTAACAAAATATGCCTTGAAATAATGTTTGCTGACCATCTGGTTAAAAAACAAGCCTAACTAGACCAAAAAAATAAGGATTTTACCAAGTCGCCCTATGGAGATTTTTTAAAAAGGGTTAACCCATGAATTTGGTCAAAAATTGGAATTTTCCTCTTAGCCCTCTTTTTAACAAAATACGCCTTGAAATAATGTTTGCTGACCATCTGGTTAGAAAAAGAGGCTAACTAGAGCAAAAAGATAAGGATTTTACCAAGTCGCCCTATGGAGATTTTTTCAAAGGGGTTAACCCATGAATTTGGTCAAAAATTGGAATTTTTCTCTTAGCCCTCTTTTTAACAAAATACGCCTTGAAATAATGTTTGCTGACCATCCGGTTAGAAAACAAGCCTAACTAGACTAAAAAAATAAGGATTCTACCAAGTCGCCGTATGGAGATTTTTTCAAAGGTCTTAACCCATGAATTTGGTCAAAAATTGGAATTTTCCTCTTTGCCCTGTTTTTAACAAAATATGCCTTGAAATAATGTTTGCTGACCATCTGGTTAAAAAACAAGCCTAACTAGACCAAAAAAATAAGGATTTTACCAAGTCGCCCTATGGAGATTTTTTAAAAAGGGTTAACCCATGAATTTGGTCAAAAATTGGAATTTTCCTCTTAGCCCTCTTTTTAACAAAATACGCCTTGAAATAATGTTTGCTGACCATCTGGTTAGAAAAAGAGGCTAACTAGAGCAAAAAGATAAGGATTTTACCAAGTCGCCCTATGGAGATTTTTTCAAAGGGGTTAACCCATGAATTTGGTCAAAAATTGGAATTTTTCTCTTAGCCCTCTTTTTAACAAAATACGCCTTGAAATAATGTTTGCTGACCATCCGGTTAGAAAACAAGCCTAACTAGACTAAAAAAATAAGGATTCTACCAAGTCGCCGTATGGAGATTTTTTCAAAGGTCTTAACCCATGAATTTGGTCAAAAATTGGAATTTTCCTCTTTGCCCTCTTTTTAACAAAATACGCCTTGAAATAATGTTTGCTGACCATCCGGTAAGAAAACAAGCCTAACTAGACTAAAAAAATAAGGATTTTACCAAGTCGTCCTATGGAGATTTTTTCAAAGGGGTTAACCCATGAATTTGGTCAAAAATTGGAATTTTTCTCTTAGCCCTCTTTTTAACAAAATACGCCTTGAAATAATGTTTGCTGACCATCCGGTTAGAAAACAAGCCTAACTAGACTAAAAAAATAAGGATTCTACCAAGTCGCCGTATGGAGATTTTTTCAAAGGTCTTAACCCATGAATTTGGTCAAAAATTGGAATTTTCCTCTTTGCCCTCTTTTTAACAAAATACGCCTTGAAATAATGTTTGCTGACCATCCGGTAAGAAAACAAGCCTAACTAGACTAAAAAAATAAGGATTTTA